CTCTCTCTCCTCTCTCTCTCTCTCTCGCTCTCTCTCTCTCGCTCTCTCTCGCTCTCTCTCCGGCTTCCGCGCGGTCCTAATATCGGGTCTTTGCCAGTTTAGGGTAGGACGCGGGTGGGGCGGTGGCTAGGTGCGCCCGAGCGCGACGAGGAACGTGCGAGGCCCACGTGAGAGGACTGGGGGGAATTTCACGTTTTCCCAGGGCCCTAGGCCGACTTTTGACGACTGACTCCCCTGCTCCGTCTCCTCGCGTGGGCCGCCGCCCCGCCTCGGCCAGCGTCGCCGGGTTTCCTCCACGGCCGCATCGAACGTGTCCCGGGAGCGGAGGTTCCTCTGAACTGAGCGCGCTAACCCCAAGACGAGCTCTTTCAGTCCTCCAGAGCCCGGCCGACTTTCGGGGAGTCGGCAGAGGCATAATTCCCACCACAACTTCACAGGGATCGGTCGTGTTGGCTCTCTGAGTTGCGAATCGGGGAGGTGGGTCGGGAGGCAGGGTTGTGGCTGTGGTTGGGGAGCCCGGACGCCACGATCCCGAGCCAGCGCCCACGCCGGGTGCTGGCTGCACAGAGCGGAGATGGGGACGCGCGGCCTCGGGGGCGCAGAGGCGACCAGACCCGAGGGAGTTCCGCGGCCTCAGGGCCCAGGGGGGACGCGCTGATGTGGACGCCTCTGGCCTAACGGTTGCCTCTGATCTGTAACGCAAATTACAGAAATTTTTTCCACGACAGTTTAGCAAAAGTCCCTCTCCGCCCCCACCCCCCAGCCTCCATCTTTTGGGGATCATTTTATTTGCTAAATAACATATCTGTGCTTAACACTAACATTTTGGGTCCTTGTGCCGGTGTAAATCCCCTGTGATTGCAGGAACTTAATAAGCTACCACCCTGACAGGCTTTCAACTTTTTTTTTTTTTTTTAGTTTTGTTACATTTTTAAGGTTGAGGACCTTAAAAATGTCTCACTTTGTAGCTTTTTTCCAACATAACCCCAATTTTTAATACCCATCTGGGTCTTCTGAGGGTTAATTTTGAAAAGGTGGGTTTGCTTTTAAATCCTTAATGTTTTAAGTCCTACTCCGGCTATATAGTAGGAGTATGTAAAAAATAAGAATGACATGGTAACTCTGAAATGTTGGGACATCTATGGGAGAGCATATGCTGAGCCCTTTATCTCACAACTTTATATCCTAAGAAGCTAATTTAAAATTGAGTAAAAGGCTGAACTGAAGACTAAATCAGGTTCAGCAATAAAACAGGGCGAGGGAATTATTTTCAACACATTTGAGACTGGCAAAGTACATGAAAGCCATTCTTCCATGTAATTTATCATTTCCTTGCATTCTTTGGGTGTAATGTAGAAATCGCTACAATCAGGAGAAAACTTTGTAAGGACTTTTATTAACAATTCTTGCTCCCTTTTGCTGTCCTCTTCAACTTCCCTGGAATTTTCTACCCTATCTCATCTACCTCCCACATTTCTAAAGCTTAGGCTGAAATACTTTAGGCAACCAATAATTATATTAGTCTAGCTAGATACTCACAGGTTCCTATTGAGTCACCTGTCTAGATCCATGTATCTCATGTAGTAATATATGTTGGGAGGTGATTTTTACATGTGACCCAGGCAAAAGGTCTTTACATTTTCCTTGGCAACAAGAAGCCATTTGGTAGGAGCTCTCAGCGATACTTGACCCATAAATTTTATATTAGAACTCAGATTTGTAAAATAGAATGATGACTTTTGTTCTATCTTTGGCCAATATTGGAAAATTCAGTGATCAAAGCTTTTGCATATATATGACATATATACAATGAGTTAATGATTCTGGTTGTCTTCCATCAGCTGGACAATTTGCTATTTATCCCCCAGTGCACTATTTCACAGCCCTCTCTCCATACTGCAATTCACTAGACCAAGGCTCAACTTTTTTTCCACCTTTTATAAGTGAGAGAGAGAACACCTTCATTGGGGAAGAGGGATGTACTCCTGAAGTACCTTTCTGGGAGTGGCCCAAATGGAAATCCCAGGATGAGGTGTAGGTGTGTTTAGTTGGGGAAAACTACCCAGATGATTCTAATAAGACGCCCTAGGAAGGTATTCCTCCCACCAGGCCTATCTATTGAGAAGACTTGCTCTAGATTCTCTGGTATTTTACATATTCCCTGGATAATTATTCAGAGGGGCCAGATATTGGTATTGTGGTAATGGTGGGGGCATTTGTATCTAAGTTGTTCACAGAGGGATGTATACCATAAAAGACGTCTTTAAGGACGCATAGTGCTACTGTCTCTTGTCTCCAGATGATATTTAAGGCATATTCAATATACTATTTAATGCATATTCCATGTGTCTTACTTGCCTCTTTAGCTATGAAACATGATATTGACATTACTATCCAAATATTTATATGTAAGCAGAAGACTGGTTTCAAGTTAAGATTCTACTTTGGCTTAAGACACTAGCCAGTGATTGAGGATTGAGGAGACTCTGCAACCCTTCCTTTTGTTATCAGGTTACTGTAAGGAATTTCAGTAAAAGCACAGTTAATTGGATGGTTCAGAGCAGACTAATCATGATTATCAACTCTATAAGGAGGATTCCCAAATACAGCTATTTCTAGCTCAGATGAAGCAACTAATCTGATCCACACCAAGAATCTGTTCTTTCAGTCTTTGTGAATGTTGACTTATTTGCTCCCTCTCCCATTACACCTCTCTGTTTATTCCATTTGAAAATAAATATCTTAATGTACTTTGTACTCAATTTTATATCTTGATATGGAAAACACAGTAGATGTTAATAAATGTTTGCTGAATAAACAAGTGAATGAATAATGCTCTAGGAACCAAAAGTAACTGCCAACTACTCCTGGGGTCACCTGAATCTTTGTTCATATCTAGAAGGGAAAAGAAAACACCTGTAAACACCCGTGTCCCAATATTGCCAGACCAGTCCTGAGATCCATTCTGAATGAATTGGCCTAGGTTACATGCCCATTACTGATTATTCACCGGAGACTCAGAAGTGGAGTCAGTTTCCTCAGAACCATGTGGGTCCCCCCACCCACCGAGAAAAATCCAGGGCTGTTGGAAGGAAGTGAGGGAAACGTGGATGCCAGGGAAACAATGTGTGTCCAATGCCATTGTTCTTACAGTCTATACTTTTGATCACTTAAATTGTCATGGATTTAAGGTACCTCAGAAATAATTTTTTGTTTAGTTAGACCGTGCATTTAAGAGCTATTAAATATTGTTGTTAAAGATTACAGTTAAAAAGCAGGCACCTGGTCTTGAGGCACCTGGGTGGCTCAGATGGTTGGGCGTCTGCCTTCAGCTCAGGTCATGATCTCCAGATCCTGGGATTGAGCCCCACATCGGGCTCCCAGCTCAGCGGGGAGCCTGCTTCTCCCTCTGCCTCTCCCCACTGCTTGTGCTCTCTCTCTCTCTCTCAAATGAATAAAATCTTTAAAAAAAAAAAAAAAGCTGGTCTTAAGTTCCTGCGAACAACACATAAAATTATTCAATGGTATATAACTTAAGGGAAAAAATTAAGTATATATTTAAAATTAAAAAGATAAGTTTTGATAAGGCTTACAAAAGCATACTATAAGACATTTGACATAGAAATCATCAGTATTGATGCTATGACAGTACTGGTAAGCTGGGACTCCATGCCCAACACTGGTGTATGACACCTTTCCTGGGAGACTAGTGTTTGATTAAATTCAGAGTCTCACTGAAGTTGTGGTTTCATTCTCAGAGAGATTCTTAGGGACTTAGATGGACCAGATGGCCAGAGTTCTCCCACTTGTACATTGAAACATGGAGAAGCCCTGGAATCCACTAATCTTTGAAGCCTGTCCAGAAACAAACTTGATTCTAAAGTGGGTTGATTTGGAAAATCCTCAGGCTGCTTACTGGCTCATGTTAGAAAGGAGCTTGGGGCACCTGAGTGGTGAGGTCAGCTGAGCATCTGACTTGGTTCCAGATCAGGTCCTGATCTTGGGGTTGTGAGATTGAGGCTCTGCTTAGAATCTGCTTGGGATTTTTCTCTCCCTCTGCTTCTGCCCCTCCCTACCTCTCTCTCTCTCAAATAAATAAATCTTAAAAAAAAGAAATTCAGGAACTTGATGACATTAGGTACTTGCCTGGTTTTCTATGGGACGTCTACAAACAGACCTTGTGCCCAACTGTTCAGAAAGGTAAAGGCTATCTCCCCAAAAATACAACACTGCTTCC